GCCTTCAGGTGAGTCTTACTTATTCTCAAACACATGACACCGTGAGAATAACTTTCAAAGACTTTGTGCCAACCTCTCAGAATTCAATTAAGACTTAGTGCACACTTTGAGTTCTTCGAGCAACTAGAGAATAGGACCTATTTCTACATCAATTTGTTTTAAGAGAATATATTAAAAATTTTAAAAGTAGGCCTAGAGAGATGGCTCAGTGGTTGAGAGCACTGACTGCTCTTCCAGAGGACCAGGTTTCAATTCCCAGCCCCCAATGGCACTTCACAATTATCTTTAACTCCTGTTACAGGGTATCAGACAGCCTCATACAGATGGACACGCAAGCAAAACACCAGTGCAAATAAAATATAAGAATAAATAAATCATTAAAAAATGTTTTTAAAAAAGATTTTAAAAGTAATCCTCCAATATTCTCAACCAATGAACATTTTTACGTATATTAAAATACATTCCATGTTCCACCAAAAGATCAAAATGTCATGTGTAACCTCCTAACAGTATTACTGAGTTGGATATTAAGAACGTCAGCATTTTGATGGTCGTCTCACTTGATTTTCATAGCAGCCCTATAAGGGAGACCTGTCCCTTTATACTTGGGGAAACTGAGCCTTGGTCTGAACATTCTGAAGCCCCGGCTTCTGGCTCAGCCCAACTTTCTTTCCCTTCTGCTCCTTCCTTCACTTGCCTTTGCTTCTGGCCTGTGCTCCTAGAGTCCCCTCAGAGTGAAAGGCCGCCAGGGTGTGGTGGTGAGTGTCTTGTGTTACAGAGGTGGATCTCTGAGTGTGAGGCCAGCCAGGGTTTCATAGTGAGACCCTGTCTCCAAAAAAAGAAAAAAAGGCCTTTCCCTCCTGTGAAAGATTGCATTACTCACATTGAGGAGGCGTCTCACCCAGGCTCCGGACACCCTCCTCTTCAGCCTTTATGTTCTGCCTTCCAGGCATCTCCGGAATTCTAGTCACGCAGGAGCATTTGTGATAGTGACTGAAGAAGCTATCGCCAAGGGTATCCGGAGGATTGTTGCTGTCACAGGTGCTGAAGCCCAGAAGGTGAGGTCAGGCTGGTGAGTGGGCCCTGCTCGTCAGGCGAAAGCTATCACTGCACACGATTTCCAGCTGTCAGTCTTTAATCTTTTACATCTTGGGCTCAGTACATAATGGCGCTCGCCACAAAGACTGACAAGCTGAGTTTGTTGCCAGTGACCCACGTAAAGTGTAAGGAGAGAACTGACTCCCACACATGGATCACGCGCACACGCTCATCACATACAAAATAATAATAGAAATTTGCCAAAACAGATAGCATCATGGAAGGCAGAATACATAAACTCTGCGTTCTCCTCCCCGCACAGCCATGTGTGGGAGGGCAAGTCAGCGTTCTCCTGCTGCGTATGTGAGATGACTTCTGGCTCATGAGTGCCTGGTTACTCCTGAACCTGAGTTACAGTGCAGCCTTTGCTGGCTTGGGGTCTGTGGCCGGAGCACTTGCTTCCTGACGGAAAGAAACCTCTGGTGTCTACATCTCTGATTGTTCTCCTAGGCCCTCAGGAAGGCAGAGAGCTTGAAGAAATCTCTCTCTGTCTTGGAAGCCAAAGTGAAGGCCCAGACTGCACCCAACAAGGACGTGCAGAGGGAGATTGCTGATCTTGGTGAGGTAGGGATGGGCGCCCTCGGCTTCAGGGTCTGTTCATTCTTTATCAAGCCTGAAGAGTAAGACCATCCCACACTGTATAGCTCAGGCTAGCCTTAGATTTGGAGCTGTCCTCTGGCCTTATCATCTTGGCAAACATGAGCCACATACTGGGTGGGAGAAGTGGGGTGTCGGGGTTTTTGTTGTTGTTTGAGAAAGGATGTCACCATGCTGCCCTTGAACTGTTTGTAGCACAGTGGCTCCTATTTTTTGGTCTGCTAAGCTTCCAGTGAGTCTGTGAAGGCTGTGTTCATAGCCTGGTGAGGGCCAGGTCTCAACTGAGAACTCAGCCCTCCTTATACTGCCGCTTTCTCTCCAGCGCCGCTCTGATGGCGGCCACATTAGTAGAGTGACTAGTTCTTTGTTGTTGCTTTAGTTTTCCGAGACAGGGTTTCTGTGTAACTTTGGAGCCTGTCCTGGAACTCCTTCTCTAGACCAGGCTGGCCTCGAACTCACAGAGATCCTCCTGCCTCTGCCTCCCGAGTGCTGGGATTAAAGGCGTGCAGCACCACTGCCTGCATAGAGGGACGAGTCTTAAAGCCAAGAGATATCTTTGTGGTTCTCTGTTTTCCCAGACATTGGCCATGGAAAACTTTAGTTCAAAGACAGGAGGGTGGGGTAGAATGGGCTTGAATTTCATCCTAAGCCCAGACCTGGACAGATTTGTGTTGTGGTTCCAGGCCTTGGCTACTGCAGTCATGCCCCAGTGGCAGAAAGATGAACAACGAGAGACTTTGAAGTCCCTGAAAAAGGTCATGGATGACCTAGACCGTGCCAGCAAAGCCGATGTCCAGAAGCGAGTAAGTCTTGGCAGTGTTGGCAGCTGGAAGAGAGCCCAAAGGTTTTCCTGAGCAGGGGCTCACACGGTTTCCGGTCTGGGCTCCTGGCCTAAGCCTCTCTCCTGATCTTGTAGGTGTTAGAGAAGACAAAGCAGCTGATTGACAGCAACCCCAACCAGCCCCTGGTCATCCTGGAGATGGAGAGCGGTGCCTCAGCCAAGGCAAGCAGGGGCCAGGGCCAGGGCTGCCCTCCTTATCAGCTGTTCGTGTTTTCCCGCCCAGTCTTGTCAGACTGCTGGTGGCTCTGAGGCCCAGTGCTTAGTACTGAAGTTAGGCAGAGCCATGGAAAGATCTGGTAGCCTGAGGAAGGAGCTCTCTAGGGGAGAATTTGGGCAGGGTCCTGGCTTTGGCCTGCGTGGGCTCCTGGGGACAGCATGTGCTCTTCAAAGGAAATGGGGTGTTGCTCTGAGGGCTGTGTTCCACAGACTCCCATGTGGGAAATAGGGCTCCCTGCCCCAGTGCCATGACCTGACAGGAAGTTCTCCCCACAGGCCCTGAATGAAGCTTTGAAGCTTTTCAAGACGCACTCTCCTCAGACATCTGCAATGCTGTTCACAGTGGACAACGAGGCTGGCAAGATCACGTGCTTGTGCCAGGTTCCCCAGGTCAGAACTTCTTATGGCCTCACTTTAAAAACCTGCAGCCAGGCAGTGCTGGTGCACGCCTTTAGTCCCAGCACTCAGGAGGCAGAGGGAAGCACTGTCTGAAGCTAAATCAGAGAGGGGCTCTTCGTCGTGTGTGTGTGTGTGTGTGTACGTACGCGTGCGTGTTTGCACGCACCCCTAATGAGAAACTACTGACCATATTCTTCCGTTTGTCATTTCCTTCAGTACTTTTTACCCCCAGACCTTCTTGTTGGTGGGTGTATTAACTACTGGCTAACGCCTGGCATTGCTTTTTGTTCACCTTGACAGTAGCCATAACTGCTTCCCTGTAGAGCAGTCTTGGCCTCTGGTAGCATCACCCAGAATACGAATGGGTGTTGTGATTCCCCACCTGAATCCCATCTCCTAGTCTGACTACCGTTTCCCCTTCCTGTCTTCTAGAATGCAGCCAACCGGGGCCTAAAAGCCAGCGAGTGGGTACAGCAGGTCTCAGTCCTGATGGATGGTAAAGGCGGTGGCAAGGATATGTCTGCCCAGGCCACAGGCAAAAACGTGGGCTGCCTTCAGGAAGCATTGCAGCTGGCCACTTCCTTTGCCCAGCTCCGCCTGGGAGATGTGAAGAACTGACAGCAGGGAAGCCCTCACCCGGAAGCGTTTCCCTGTCAACCAGATGTCTCAGAATGCGGGAGTCCACCCAGAAGACTTTTGAGTTTGGGGACCTTTTAGTCACCCTATCCGTCCTAATCCAGCAGTAACTGGAACATACCTGGAGCTGTCCCGTGATTCATTGCCCCTTTCCGTTATTGCTCTGAGCCATAAATGTCGGCACCATCTATGTAGAATCACTACCCCAGGAATGCTACTTAACATCATCACGATCATGTCTAGACCCTGACTACCTGTGGCTTCCAGGTCTGCAGGCAGGAAGCCTTTTTGCTGCAGAAAATAAAAAGGACCATGTGCAATACTTGATGCAGGCATTCTACTTTCTCTCCTGAGGTGGACCCTAGCTCCCTGTGTATCTGCAGAATGCAGGCCGCAGTTCCAGCTTGTTCCCAATTGAGTTCTCACAGAATACATTCCTAGACCCGTGAACTTTAGAGGTGACCCCTAGGATAGCAGAACCAGGGGCAAAATGAATGGATGGGCTGAAATTGAGGGGAAAATTTCTACTGAATTACTTAAGTGGAGAAGCACCTTTCTCAGTCTCTTGGGATAATTTCTGCCTTGGGCCATGTATGTCCCTTCTCTGCTTTGAAGATGCTGATGTGAGGTTAGACAACTAATATAGGAAATATAAGCATGGAGGTGTCTCTCAGTAACTGTCCTATCCCTGCTTCTTACCTAATTAGGTTCAAGGCCCTGGCCTGGCCCTAAAATGCAACTTGAGTCTACAAATAGCAGGGTCTAGAAGCAGTAGTAGGTACTGCCTGCTTATGCCAGTTCCTCAGAATGTTAGAAATATTATATATGTATATATAAATACATATGTGTACCTGCATGTTCATATATGTATCGATCTAGATATCTATATATCTTTATATGCATTAATACATTTATGTATTTTACACATGTATCTATATATCCAGTATAGGGAGAGTTCGTTCCATCAATTTATTAAACAAGTGTTGAAGCCAGCCGGGGGACTGAGTGCAGGAGTGAACAAAAAGTCCTTAACTTGAGCAAGTTTATGTAAAACAGTCTGAAAGCAAAATTCAAGGAATAGCCTTAACAGGTTAGATCCATTAAAAACCCTGCCCAGGTCCCCCTGCGCGACAAGGCAGCTGTACTTCCTCCACGCCGCTAGATGGCCTTGCGGCCACCTAGAGCTCTCCCGATAGGCTTCGCGCCGGCGCGCATGTTTAAGTAGGCGGAAGAACCGGTGCGCAAGGTGGCCCGGCCGGCGGAAGTGGCTCGTGCGCCGGTAGTCGCCATGCCGGGAGACCATCGCCGCATCCGCGGTCCAGAGGAGTCCCAGCCGCCACAGCTGTACGCGCCCGACGAAGACGAGACGCCCGCTGACCGCGACCCAACGCGGCTACGACCGGTGTACGCGCGCGCCGGACTGCTGAGCCAGGCCAAGGGCTCGGCCTACCTGGAGGCGGGAGGCACCA